CCCTTGAAACCGAGCGGACTTCAACTCCCAGAATTCCACAGGCCGTTGTCTTCTTCTGTCCCCCTGCTGGCTGGGGGATTCTGAAAGTTGAAGTTCAGATGTTTGCGAGTTGCCAAGGTTGGAAAACAGACTGAATGTGAGTATTTGAGGGGCTGCCACAAAGAAGAGGGGAGTCAACTTCTTTCCCGAAGTACCAGAAGGCAAGAAACAATGGATGGAAATTAAAGAGAGAAGCAACTTGGAATTAAGGAGAAACTTCCTGGCAGTGAGAACAATTAGCCGGTGGAACAACTTCACCGGTCTTCAGACGTTGTAAGCGCTCCATCACTGGAGGCTTTTAAAGAAGAGACTGGACAGTCCATTTGTCTGAAAGGGTCTAGGATCTCCTGCTTGAGCAGGGGGTTGGACTAGATGACCTCCAAGGTCCCTTCCAGCTCTATTGTGATTCTGATTCAATGGAAGCTACCTCACTCGGGCAACCATCAGCTAAGTTCATCCACAGGGGCTGCATAGTTCCGATGCAGTAGCAGGCTAGGTCGTGAGAATGCACCCAAATCCGGGCACAGAGAAGGAGGGTCAGTCAGTCCCCAAATCTTCTAACTGCCGAGCTAAAGATCGGTTCCTGTCCCTTGCCTCGCTTCCCTTCCTATAAAATCCTGCCTCTTACCGGAGCTTCCCATTCGCTCCATGCTCCTTGTCGGCAGCAACCGCCAGAGCGACAGCAAAGAGCCGGAAGTCAGTTACATTGTATCCGAGCGCTTCGTCCATCGGTTACATTGTAGCGCCTCCTCTCAGCTCCCTCGGCCACGTGTTTGCTCTGACTACGGCAGCCGAGGGGGGACAAGCCACTGAGCGTCTCCTGCCTTTCAGTCTCCTCCCAGGACGGCTGGGCTGGATGGAAAGGGCGGCTCTCTGTAGGGTCCGCATCTTTTCCTCCTGCGGACCTCTAGATTTTCGGGAAAGGAGGTCCTGTGAAGTTTAAATCAATCCTTCCTTCCTTCCTTCCTTCCTTCCTTCCTTCCTTCCTTCCTTCCTTCCATCCATCCATCCATCCATCCATCTTGCAGGCTTTCAACTCAAAATTAAGATGAATTATTGTACTTACATCGCTGGAATATGTTTTCAAAATTGTATGTTCTTATTGCTAGTATCCTTTCTTCCTTCCCCTTCCCTCCCTCCCTTCTTCCTTCCTTCCTTCCTTCCTTCCTTCCTTTCTTCCTTCCTTCCATCCTCCCTCCCTCCCTCCCATCCATCCATCCATCCATCCATCCATCCATCCTTGGAAGCTTTCAACTCAAAATTAAGATGAATTATTGTACTTAACATCGCTGGAATATGTTTGCAAAATTGTATGTTCTTATTGCTAGTATCCTTCCTTCCTTCCCCTTCCCTCCCCCCCTCTTCCTTCCTTCCTTCCTTCCTNTGGGGGCAATATGCTGACTCTGTAAACAGCTTAGAGAGGGCTGAAAGCCCTATGAAGCGGTATATAAGTCTAACTGCTATTGCTATTGCTATTGTTTACCTGCAGCATGGACAGACGGATCCCCTCCAGAGGTTTGTCTGGATCCACCTTCACCTCCCTGGCTTGATCAAACCCCTCCCAGCTTTTGATGGACGCACCCATTTGGAAAGATCCCTGCAAGGCAAAACATGGAGCTACTCACTTCCAGAATTAAAAAGCGGATGTCCTTCTGGGGAGAATCAGGGTTGGCTTTGACTGTCCTGGCACTCCGGAATTCCCCCAAATCTGAAATCCTTACACAGGCGAGAGAAGCTCCCTGTGGGGTAAGACAGCTCACATCAGTGAAGGATCCATTCAACTATGGATCCTGTCTTCCTTCTACTTATTTATCTAGGCTACTGTTTCTCAACCTTCAGATCTTGAACAGGTGTGGACTTCAACTCCCAGAATTCCCCAGCCAGGAAAAAAAATGGAGTCACAGCGCCCTGGTGGTGCAGTGGTTAGAAAGGAGTACTGCAGGCTAACTCCCTGCTCACTGACAGGAGTTCGATCCTGACCGGTTCAAGGTCGACTCAGCCTTCCATCCTTCCGAGGTGGGTAAAGATATGTTTATGTGCTCTGGTTATGCCTCTTCAAGTTGTCAAGAGAAATAAATACCTTGAAATTAGGAATCCGATGGTGGACCGGTCTTGGGAAATCAGCCAGGTTCTTGGCTTCCATGTAATCCCAAATTTTGTTTCGGATGTCCCATTTGGAAACTCCTCATGAGGGGAAGAAGAAGAAAAGGGACCAAAATTACCCCTGCGTTTTTCAAATCCAGTTGGGGGTTAGCTTTAAATTGCATGCTTGGTTATCATTCATTATCACTTTGCTCCTATCACACTTTAAAAATTATTTTTTTTTTTGCATTTTGGATAAAAATATGATGGATTATGCAAAATGTTTTTAAAAAGAGGATAAAGTTTACCTCTCAGTTATTCTTGTTAGGTATAACTACTGATTGTACTGTCACAGAGGCTAATCTGATTTTGAACCTAACAACGGCAGCGAGACTGTTGGTGGCGCAATACTGGAAGAAGGGAGATTTGCCTACTATTC